GGAAGTATTGGATGTTGGTATGGGCTGAAGTCGCCCCCGCAAAAAATATATGTTAAAGTTCTAACCCCAGTACCACAGCATGTGACCTTATTTGAAAACAGGGTCTTTACACAATCAAATTAAAGTAAGGTCATTCTGGTAGGTCTTAATTCAGAATGACTGGCGTTCTTATTTAAAGGGCAAATTTGGACACAGAGACAGATATGTGCACATGGAAGATGATGTGAAGACACAAAGGGAGAAGATAGCCATGTGACTGGAATGAGGTGCCTCCAAACCTAGGAATGCCAAGGAACACTGAGGATTGTGAGCAAACGTCAGAAACTAGAAGTGGCAAGGACTGTCCCCTAGAACCATCAGACAGAACATGGCACTGCTGACATTTTGATTTTGGACTTGTAGCTTCCAGAACTGTGAGACAGTAAATATATGTTTTTGAGCCATCCAGTTCTTGGTACTTTTCTTTTTTTACAGCTACCCTGGGAAATTAACATAGGTAGAATTTGAGGATGGCTGCTTAAAGGCAGGCTTCCTGATGCTTGGACTATATAGGCTTGGTATTTAAAATATTTAACTATGGAAAAATATATATATTTAACCATCAGTATGGATATGGGCCCTGATCAATCAAATAGGACGTGGACTATGAACAATTTGTCTAGTCACACTTGTGTATACTGGTTAAATATTAGCCCTGGGAGTGTGGCTGGAGCTCCATCAGCCATTTTGGACCACAATGCTAGGAGCCAGGAGTTGAGGATGGCAGAGGTGAGGGGAGGTCCCTTGGTTTCTGATGACTTTGTGGAGCTGCCACACCAGACCTGGACTGCTTACCTCCAGTGTTATATGCTACACACTTCATAGAATAAATCTGTTTGTTTATGACTCCGTTATTTTTGGCTTTTCTGTTTTCCTCAGCCAAACCTGGATTTACCTGACATCCAATCCCATGAAGTATTAGGAATCCTGAAATGATCAACAGGAAAGTATTTTGCTAACTTTCCAGCTCTAGGCACACATAAGACATTTTTCTTAATGCAGTGTTTATGACTGTCATTATGACTGGCTTAGGAAGAACAGGTTGAAATTGACGGACATGATCCTGGTCAGAGATCAGAGGCTCTTTGTCCTGCTTCAGCAGCATATTATTGAGGCTCTGCACAGCATCCGTGGATAACAGCGGCATGAGACACTGGCCAGAGAGGGGCTGGCTGCCAGCAGGATGACTGGGTAATTTTTGTTGAGCTGGGGCCAGAATACTCAGCCACGGGTTGACAGTTAATTATAAAGGTTAAGAGTTGGACAGATAAGTTTAAATCTATGTTTCACCCTTACTTGCTGTGTGACCCTTGGCAGGTTGCTCAACTCTGAGTCTCAGATTGTTCATTTGAAAAATGGGAACAATTATAGCCTCTGTGACATAGCGTTGTCATGGAGATTTAGTGATATAACATACTCAGTAGGGAAAAAGACAAATCCAGCTTATTCTGTATCCAGTCCATTAACCCTTGACAGGTAACAAATGGACAGGCTGGATTCTGGTTTGTCCCTTCTTACCTTTATCGATTCATTCAGTAGGCATACTGAATGTGCCTACTATGTGCCTCCTCTGTACTAGGGGATGAAAGGAGCCAGTGAGGGAGACATGGCATCCAAATACAGCCAGCTCAAAAAAAATGGTTTAAGAACAGTAGAGTCCTGGCCAGTGGCTTAGTTGGCTGGAGGGTCATCCTGTAAACCGAAAGGTTGTGGGTTTGTTCCTGGTCGGGGCACATGCCTAGGCGGCAGGTTTGGTCCCCAGCTGGGGGTGTGTGGAAGGCAGCTAATCGATATTTCTCTCCCTCTCTCTCCACCCCTCCCCTTTTCTCTACAATCAATGAATATGTCCTCAGGTGAGGATTGGGGGGGGGGGGGAGTAAAGCCTAACTTTGGGTGCCCTTCGCCTCCTCTTACTGTCATCTTTTCTTGAGGGCTCCCTTTGAGGTTGCATTTGTGGCTGCCCCGGTCTACCTACTCCCAGTCAGTAGATGCTTGCTCTCCGGAGGACCACTGTCACTAATTCATACTATGGTACAAATGACAACAAATCTCTCAAAGCATGGACCTGCAAATGACCCCTCCTGTAAAGCTGACTGCATCCTGAGACACTGTCCCCATGCATAGAAAGCAAGAGGTTGCTAGGTAGAAGGGCCTGGAAAAATCAGCCTGAATTGAAGCCCGGCAGAAGTGACTCTAAGCAAAATGACCCAACCAAGTACACCAGCAGTCATGTGCTCAGACTGGGTGGGGAGCAGAGAATGGCTCTTCCAGACTCCATGGTCACTGCTGTGCATTATCTGGTTAGGTTGTGCAGGGTGCCCTAGGTGGACACTGAGGCAGGACTAGAAGTGCCTCTGCCTTTCAAGAAGCCTATGGCCTGACTGGGGACATGAACATGTATGTTAGACCAAAAGCCTTTTGGCCCCACTGATTTGAAATGCCGCCTTCATTGTGTACCACATTCTCCAATATGCATAAGACTATTCTAGCCCTGACTGTTGTGGCTCAGTAGGTTGGGCATCATTCTTCAAATCAAAAGGTTGCTGGTTCTATTCCCAGTCAGGGAACATGCCTGCATTGTGGGCCAGTTTCCTGGTGGAGGACGTGTGAGAGGCAATCAATCGATGTTTCTTTCTCACATTGACGTTTTGCTTTCTTTCTCCCTCCCTTCCTCTCTCTCTAAAATAAATAACTAAAATCTTTAAAAGGAGAGACTATTCTAGACTCCGTTCTGTTCTACCACAGCCTCTCCCTGCACCACTACTATGCTGTCTCAAAGACTATAGCTTTATAAAATAATTTGTTATCTGGTAGAGGAAGCCCTCTTTCTTCTTTTTCAAGAATGTCTTACCTGTTCTCACATGATTACTGTTCCAGATGAACTTAAAATTAGCCTTTGAGTAACACAGATGTTGAATCCTCTTCTGCACTCTTGGGTATGCCAAGCACTCAGTTCCTGCTCTTGGGAGCTCACAAACTCTCTGAGCAGGGTAATCAAACAAGAAATGTAAAACAGTATCAGGAAACTCACCCTATGGGTAACTAGAGCCAAAGGAGTGAGGAGTCGGCATAGCATAGGTAGAAGTGTTGTGAGTTCCATTGCTCCTTCAGACTAGGAGAGTCCTTCCTGAGACGCTCAGCAGGGGAGATGACATAGGGGACTTAGATGGATTAGTAGGAGTTTTTCAGGCAGAGGAGAGAAGAAACACTTTGAGTGGGGAAAGTCAGACACATTTCATTTGACAGGTGATAGGCGTTTGCCAGATTCAGAGGATGGAATGAAGGGAGGGATTGCCTGGAGCTGCAAAAACCACAAGAAGACTCCCTGAAGACATTTTGGCTGGGTTTGAGTTGGAGGAATCAGAGAAGATGCTGGAAGAGGCAATTAAATAAAAAGGATTTTATTAGGAAATTAATACAAGATGACTTTTGACCTGAACTTCGAGGCAGGAGCAAGACAGGGGACAGGGGGTAGTCACAGAAAAGACTTCCCGGAGAATAAGAAATCTTCTGGCTTCCTGCCCACTCGTATCCCAAATCCCAAATCCAGGATCTAAGCGTCCCACCGCGTAGACACCGAGGATGCTGAGGTGGCGACTGTGCAGTTCCGATTTCCAGGTGTGGGATAGCTACGGACCAACCTGGACAACTAAGGCTCAGGTTTGCGGAGCCGGCTGGCAGAGTTGAATGCTTTTTGTCAGAATTGACCAATGGGATGGCAGCACCCGGTTGCCAGGGCTACCGGAGGCGGGGCCTAAGCGACAGGGGCGGGGTCTGGGCGGGGTTTATATAAGTGGGTGGCGGGAGAAAGGCGGGGCGTGGAGTCAGTGGCTGCTGAGCGGGCGGGGCGTAGGCCGCGGGGTCGGATCCCGGGGGAGCGAGCTAGCGGAGGCGCGGTGGATCTGATTCACTTGCTGGGGAGATCTATGGGAAAAAGCCGTGTAAATGCGTTTTAAGGCAAGTGCGGGAGTGGCTCTGGGAGCCTTGGGATGCGGGAGCCCTCTGCTCCAGTGCTGATGTGCCCCTGGCCCCTCTTGCCTCTTTTCAGAAGGGGCTTCGGCTCCGCAACTGCCACTCCTCCTCGGAGTGTTGCACAAGTTTCGAGGTCACCGGCGACCCCCCCTAGCAGCGCGCCTGGCTCTGGCCCCCCGCGAAGGAGGACGGGGCTTGGTAAGGGTGTGTGTGTGCGCGCGTGTGTACGGGGGCGGGGGTGACGGGACCTCGGCCCTGCCCTCGGCGCGGGGGTGGTCACCGGGACAAGATTTCAGATTATGGTTCTTGCCCCGGTGCCCGCGTGGCGCCCCAATGGACGCTTAGAATCCTAGCACTCCAGGGCCAGCCGGCCCTAGTTTAGAAACAGTGAAACTGAGGCTCTGAGAGAGGACGGGGCGTACCCAAGGTCACTCAGCAGAGAGCGGACCCGAACTTATGCTCCGGCTCGCGGGGGCTGAGACCCTTTGGCGGAGTCACCCGAGGCCTCGTTAGGTGGGCGTGGTCAGGACTAGGGACACGCTGGAAACTTGGCCACCCGCGATTCTCGGCTTTCCTGCACCTTTGCTCTCTTTCTTTCCTTTTTTTTTTTTTTTTTTTTTTTAAATTCAAAGACCTCCAAAACAATTCATCCATTTTAAAGATGGGGAAACTGAGGCTTTGAGAGGCAGTGACATCTAGGCATATGATGCCTTGTCCCAGTCCCGGATTCTCGATGGAATCCTATCCCAGTGAACCTCAGCTCCTCAGGCTTGGGCTAGGGGCGTGGCGGGGTGTGACAAGACTGGGCACCCCGGCTTGGGGAAGTGAGCGAGGGGGTCGGCGCAGGCCACCCTCCTCCCCCATCCACACCCAGGCCAGCAGCCTCCTCACTCTCCCCCTGCAGTGTGTTGCATACTTTCTAAGGCGGCGGCGACAGCGGCAGTGGGGCAGCCGGGACTCCATCCAGCCCATCCGCTCTCCTCCTCGGCATGGCTGGCTACCTGAGTGAAACGGACTTCGTGATGGTGGAGGAGGGCTTCAGCGCCCGAGACCTGCTGGAGGAACTCACTCTGCGGGCCCCACAGGCCACCGCGGTGAGCGGCTGCAGCGGGGGTGGGTCCCCCACTCCCTGTGCAGGCCCAGCTGCCTCCTCTGAGGAGGCCCTCATCTTACTCTTTCACTTATTTGCTGTTCAGTCCTTGCTATTTGCAAGAGACAGGCTCATTTGTCCCCTGTCCCTGGTCCTTGCCACCGAACCTGCCCCTCCTGACCCCTGCCTTGATGATAGCACCGCTGTCACCTGCCTAGATCTCCTGCCTCCATCATCTACCTAGATCTAGGTCAGAAACCTGGGAGCCCCTTCTCCCCCCGCCCCCCAACTCACATCTAGACATCACCAAGCTCTGTGAATTCAGCCTCCTTAAAATACCCCCGGGTGTGCTCCTCCAGAACCTCTCTCTGTAGTTCAGGCCTCTCCTCTCGAAAGGCCCCTCAACCTCCTCCCTGCCTCATGGCCCAACCCCAACTTGATCACAGCCCTGCTCAAAATTAGAATTCTTTGGCAGTTCCCAATTGCCTACAGGGTCAAATCAGAACCCCTCTGCCTTCCAACCCCAATTCCAGCTTCTCCCCTGGTGTGTATCCTGCTCCATCAGAGCTGAATTACTCTGCTCAGAGGGCCAATGATGCCTTGTGCTCTATTACCTATCACCCCTTTGCCTAGAACACCCTTCTCCTGCCCTCTCTCCCTCTCACCTATTTCTCCTCATTCCTTATTACTCGTTAGTGTCACCTTTTCCTGATTGCCCAGGCAGCTTTTGTATTTTCTTTGTCCTTGGCCCCCCTGCATTGCGCAGAAACTCCCGTCTGGTCAACTCTGTCCCCTAGCATAATGTCCAACACCAAGTGGGCATCAGTTAAACAAAGTGTTGCATAAAGGAAAACTGAGTCCCAGGGAAGGTTTCAGTTATGCGGTCTCACCCATAGCCTCATACGTGTTCAGCCCTCAGCAATTCTGTTAGGGCCCCTTGTCCCACAGGCATGGGTTGCAGTGTGGGGGGGGGGACTACCTCAGGGCTTCATTGGGCACCACTATGTGAAAAGCAATGGGCCATAGGCCATAGTTTTGGCCTTCAAGGAATTGATCTTTTTCTGGAGAAGACAGATACATACATACTTCTCGTACTTTGGAAGCAAGTGCAAAATGCAGTGGGAGCCTTAAAAGCAGAGGTGACTTCTTGGTTTGAGGGAGGTGGTGCTGGATATGAAACCTGAAGGTAGACTAGGAATTTGCCAGACACATGTTGAGGAAAGGTATTCTATGTGGAGGGCATGCTGGGAACAGAGGCTTGGAGGTGGGAAAATAAACAATCCAGGCTGCAGCTGGAGTTTGAGGGGCAGTGAGGGGAGGGACTAGGGCTGGATTACAGATCCTCAAATGCCAGGCTGGGGAGTTTGCCTTCTGTCCTGTAGGCTTGGGGAGTCCCAGAGAATTTAGAGCAACATGGCCTTGTGGCCACAGCCGAGCTTAGGGCAGATACTCGGGAGGACCAGGGATGGCATGCAGAAGGAGGGAGCTGGGTAGGGTCTCACATTCACCCCTCTTGTTGTGCAGGGAGAGGTTACTGCCTTCTTCGTGGCCGACCTGGGTGCGGTAGTGAGGAAGCACTTCTGCTTTCTGAAGCGCCTGCCTCGAGTCCGGCCCTTTTACGCCGTCAAGTGCAACAGCAGCCTGGGTGTGCTGAAGGTCCTGGCTGAGCTGGGGCTGGGCTTCAGCTGTGCCAACAAGGTGAGCCCCTGCCCCCAGCAGCACACTGACCCTTGCTGCCTCCTGAGCACACATGTGGCTGGGCTGCTCTGGGTGGGCCCTGGGGAGGCAGGAGTGACCTGCAGTTGGCCTCTGCCCTCTGGAAGGGCCACTCACTTGGGAAGGGCTTTAAGGGATGAGGGAGGGAGAAACAAGCATGGCATTTGCCAGCCTCGAAGTTGCAAATTAGAGCCATGTGGGTCCCTGGGATAGCTGGCTCATCTTTTTAAATGGAGGCTTTCAGACTTCTTGGCATAGAGCTATACATAATATTCTTTTAACTAAAACAAACAAACAAACACACCCACTTACTGTTGTTTTTATTTTCTTTTTTCTTTTATAATCTTAATAATATGTGACTGCATTTTCTTAACTAATCCTTTTTGAGTTTTGTTATTTGTTGCCAATTCTATTTCCTTTCCAATTTTATTAATGCTATTGTCTTAATTCTCTCCTGCTCAATTTAGATTTACTTTGCTTATTTACTGTTATTCTCTATTCATTGAGCTCCTACAAAGTGCTAGTCGCTGTGCTAGGTAGGGCTGGCTGTAGAGTAAAACAGACTCTGCTCTCCTTGGGTTGAATACTTAGTTCATCTATGTTTTCACCACCGTTTTACCTTGTCTATTTTTATTCTGTTCTTACTTGAGAAGAGCCTTTAAGCTAGGAAGTTTCGTCAGAGTACAGCTTTGGATATACTTATTCATTCAGCAGACCTTTATTGAGCGGCTACTGTGGTGCCATGTACTATTCTTGGTGGGGATTTAACAAGTCAACAAAACAACAAAAAAGCCCTTTGTTCATGGAGATTCCTTTCTGAAATAAATAAGTGAAACAATGAAAATGCATAGTGTCTCCCTGGCCAGTGTGGCTCAGTTGGTTGGAGCATGATCCTGTGCACTAGAGGGTTGCAGAGGTTGAGGGTTTGATTCCCAGTCAGGGCATATGCCTAGGGTATGGGTTCGGTCTCTAGTCAGGGCACACAGGAGGCAGCCAATCAATATTTCCCTCTCTTTCCCTCTCTAAAATCAATGAACATATTTTTTTTAAAAAAGAAAGTGTATAGTATTTTACATGGAGAAAATTAAAGTGGGAAAGGGAAGTAGGGAATGTTCAGAGAGAAGATAGCACTCTAGATAGTTTGGCTATGGGAGGCTTTGCTGAAATTTGAATATAGACCTGCAAGAAACAAAAGATCATGCCTGGTGGATAACTAGGGGAAGGACATTCTAGGCAGAGGGAATGAATGGCAAGCACAAAGGCCCTGAGGTGCCTGGTGGGCATTGGTTTGTGGTATTGTCATTACTGTTATTTTTTGTAATGGCTAGTAATGGGTGTTTTGAGGGGAACCCTTTTAAAACCCCTTAAATGAAGCAATGTAACTGGGTGTTGAAAGGAGAGTTTCAGAGGGGTGTCCTGTGGGAGAAAGGAGAAGAGCTAACTTGGGCAGGAAGACAGGGCTGGGGGGATTCCAGTGGGAGAGAGGTGTGTACTGGGGCGGGACCATCAGAAGGAGCAGCTTAACGTTTATCAGAGGCTAATGGTAATGCTGTTATTGACAGAGGAGTCTCTCTCTCTCTTGTCACCCACAAAGCCCTGTTGCATTAGCTCTTGCTTTGCACACGTGTTTTTTTGTGTGTATCACATAAAACCCTGTGAGGGGCATAGGGATAGAGGTTGGCATTTTACAGGTGAGGAAACTGGGAACCAACTCAGTAGCAGAGCCAAGACTTTCCCCTGCACACACTGGGCCTCTGCTCTGGGCAAAGAGGAAGGGGATCCTTTTCTGGGCTACTTGGTCTAGGGGTGAAGAACAGGACCGAATCCCATTGACTAAAGTAGTCTGCTTCTGGAATCCCAGAGGTAGGGCCCTTGGCCCTCTAGCCTCCTGATTTCCAAAGGCTGTTGGGCTTAGAAAGGCCTTGAAGTCAGTGGGGGCTTTAAAAGCATCTACCATTTGCTGAGTGCTTCTATTGTGCCAGGTGCTTTGCCAAGCATTTTCTGTACATGATCTCATTTTATTCTCGAAACAACCCTGTGAGGTAATTATTGTTACCATGATTCTGACAACAGTCCTCTGAGGACACATTTAATGCATAATGGACACAGGCACAGAGATTGAGTGACTCACTGGGAAGTGGCTGCTTGTGTAGGGCAATGGGCTCTGCCTCTATAGCTGCTGTCTCTTCCAAGATCCTAGGGAGCGGATGGCTGAGCTGGGACGAGGCTGGTGATAGGTGCTAACCCCAGGGGCTGTGAGAGGCCGGGTACCGCTCCTGGGGGGTGGGCTCACACAGACCTTCGGGTGCATTTACTAAGAGGTGGCTGTGGGACACCCAGCTTTCCTTTGAAGTCCAAGGCTGCCCTCTTCTGGTCAGCCATAGCTGGTGGCTGTGCTAGCACTTAACACTAGCGTGGCAGCAAGCTAGGGCTGGGTGTACTGGTTTGTGTTAGAGGGCTTCGGGGTCAAGGGCGCAGGCCACACCCTGCGTGGAGTGCTGGTCTACCCACCTTCCCAAAGAGTTTTTGTCTCGCTTGCCCTCCCTTGCTATCTCCCTTAGCCTGCTTCCATCTTAAAAAGCCTTTCCCAGATACCATATCATCTCCCACCCTGATCCCTCACTCTTTCTTCATGGCCAAAACGAGTTTTCTACACTTGCGTGTCTACAGTCACTTGTCACTTTCCCTTAGCGCCCACCCCTTGCACCATTGCTTCCCTGCTTCCACGCTCACCACTCCAGGGAACCTCCCCTTACCAATGTCCCCCAGGGATCTCCAGGATCCAGTGAACACTTTATTTTAAACCTTCATTTTGAATCATTCCTATCATACATATGTATTCTTTCATACATACACAAGTAGGACATCAGCTTTATGTCTTTGGAGATAATTGCCGTTATGAATTTGAGTTTGGTGGGTATATTAGTATTTTTAACTTATAAATATGATGTATAGGAAAGATACAAGATACCTTGTGATTTTATGATAAAATATAAAAGATGGTCATGTGTTATGGACTGTCTGGCAACAGCTTTCCATTCAGCAGGTTGTGGAGACCTGTCTATGTTTATGCATGTAAACTTTGTTGGGGACACTCTTTGATCCTGTTATTATTTGGCCTCTCAATAGTATTCAACGCAGGGGCATTTTTTTTTTTTAAGTCCAGTGTGGGTTCACTGTAGACACAGTGTTGTACGGCGGATCTCTAGAACTTACTCATCTTGCAGAACTGAAATCTGATGCCCATTGAGTGCAACTCCCCATGTAACAACATAGTCTGTTAAAAAACGTCCTCAATAACAGATGCTCCTACTTTTAAAGACTTCGGAAGTGTGTCAGATGAAAGTGAGTGCTGCTCTGGCCCAGCCCCACCCTCACTGAGGGCCTCTGATGGTCGAGGCACCGCCTTCCATACAGACATAGTTGTAGGACAGGCTGCGCTTTGACAGGAATGGCATTATAATCTCTGTTCTGTTCTGCTTCTTCTGGAGACATTCTCTCTCCTCACTTCAGTGCGGGTCCTGGGTGCCAGCTTTTTCTCGTCTTCCACCGCTCTCTCAGTGGGAAAGTTCAGGCTCCCTTCTGTCGTAAACTCTCCCTCTGCTTAAGGAATTTCATCTCTTCCCATGGCTTTCAATGCCGTCAATATGCCGCCGCCTCCCATGTTTTGATCTGCTACCCAGACCTATATAACCAGCTGCTGGCTTGATAATGGAACAGGATGTCTGGAATCCAGTGTTTTCAAATGCACGCACCATCTTCCATTTGCAAAGCATCCCTTGGTCTGCTTATGCATGGGGTCCCCTGAGACATCCTCACCCTGCATCCCCACGTGCAGCCCCCCACCAAGTTTGCCAGCCCTGCCTCCAGAACACGTCTCCCTGCCTTTCTAGTGCAAACTCTGTTATCTCTGTCAGGGTGACTGCCACCAGTCTCCCCACAATCCCCTCGGGTCTTTCCAGGTAGCCAGAGCCATATGCATTTAAGATTATTTTTTAAATTTATATATTTATTTATTTTCAGAGGGAGGGAGAAAGAGGGGAGAGAAACATTAATGTGAGAGAGAAACATCAATCGACTGCCTCTCGCACATGCTCTCACCAGGGACCGAACCAGTAACCCAGGCATGTGCCCTGATTGGGAATCAAATGAGCAACACTTTGCTTTACAGGATGATGCCCCACCGCCTGAGCCATGCCAGCCAAGGCCACAGTGATATGCATTTAGACCTTGCATTTAAAATGCCAACCTGAGCATTTCGTTTCCCTTCTTGAAACCCCTGGAACAGTTTCTCGTTACTGGCAGGATAAATTAAGAATCCACACCAGCCTTCTTGGTTTCCCTGTTGGCTCTACCCACTTGGCTCCAACTTCATCTTCCCCACTGTGCGCGCCCTGCCCAGGACACTCTCCTATCCTCTACCCGTATCCAGCTGAGCACCTTCTGGCCTCAGAACCGCTGCCCAGGCCCTTCTTCTCCTGGAAACCTTTTTTCCTTCCTTCTGTCTTGGCGTGGCCTAGGTCTCCTGTGGGTCTCAGCTTCAATTTCTGACCCTCGGAAAGGCTGCCCTTCACCGCTATACTCAGGTCTCCTGATCTGCGTTCTCTTTAGGATCCTATGCTTTGTCTTCATGGCTCTTATCCATTCCATCTTTATTCAGTGTTCATGTACTCCTTCCTACCCGTCTTCCCCACCAGCCAGAAGATGCCAAAGGGTCAGAGACCCTGTCTACTTTCCTCACCACTTGTTTTCGTGAGCACCTAGCATGGAGCCTGGCAGCTCAGCAGAGCTCCGGCAACACTTGCCAGCTCAGGATCAAGGCTGAATGCTCCCTTGTACTGTGGTTAAGAGCTGGTGTGCTCAGTTCTGGGTTAGAGTTCCAGCTGTGTCACTTATAAACTGTGTTACTTTGGACAAATCACTTTCTCTCTCTAAGCCTCTGTTTCCTATCTAAGATTATTGTAAAGATTAAATAAGAATGTAAATAAAATATTTGATGTGGTGGCTGGCATAGAGTTATTATTTTTCCTTTTTAAAACTTATTTTAAAATTATAGTTGACAGACAATACTAGACTAGTTTCGGGTGTGCAGCACAGTGATTGGACATTGATACACCTCACTCAGTGATCTCCACGATACAGCAGTCACCATACATAGCTATGATATTTTTGACTGTATTCTCTGTGCTGTACTTATGCATTTTATACCTGCAGATTTGTACCTCTTATTCTCCTTCACCTTTTTTTTTTTGGCCCCCCCCCCACTCCCTTTCCCTCTGGTAACTATCAGTTTGTTCTCTAGATCTATGCAGCTGTTTGTATTTTGTTTTGTTTGTTTATTTTGTTTTCCAGATTCCACATATAAATGAAATCATATGGTATTTGTCTTCCTCTGTCAGGCTTATTTTATTTAGCATTAGGTGCTCTAGGCCCATCCATGGTGTCACAAATGGCAAGATTTCATTCTTTTTTATGGATGAGTCATATTCCGTTGTATCTGTAGGGGGCCGCTTTGAGTGGTGTTGGAGACTATAGTCCCCTCGCAAGCTGGGGCCTGGGAGAGGACCTGTGAGACTTGGCTGCAACACCAGTAGTGCAGTTGATAGGCAGGACCCGATAACAAACTCTGAGGGCCCCCGGGAGAAATCAGGCCTAGAAGTAAATTACACTCCTTACAGCATGCTTTATTTCTCCCTTACGCTCTGTTAATGTTATACCAGTTAACCAGCTCAAGGCTGGGAAAGAAATTTACAAAATTCCTGGACCCTGACCCAAATCCTCCCTGGCCCCATAATGTTTACTCATCTCAGACCCAAGCAATTCGGTATGTTCCTGCCATTGTCTCCTTTAAACATCACCCATTCTCTGTAAGCTTAAATTACTGATGTAATTAGATTACCTATACATTCCTGCTACCTGTGCCCTGCTTGTAACCTTCTCAATAAAAGCCATTGAACATGGGGGCTTGGGGCAGTCTCCTTGAGAGAGAATCACCTTTCCCTTTCCTTGACAGGCGAACAGTGTCTGGAACGACTCTCTTCCATCTGTGGTGAATCGGGGGGCTTCGTGGGCGGAGGTCCCCCTTATGTATCTGTATACAATATCTTTTTTATCCATTCGTCTATCATTGGACAACTAGGTTGCTTCCATATTTTGGCTATTGCAAATAATGCTGCAGTGAACACAGGGGTGCAAATATCTTTTTGAATTAATGTTTTTGATTTCTTCCAATAAACACCCAGGAGGGGGATTCCTGGGTCATATGGTAATTTAATTTTTTTTTGAGAAATCTCCATACTGTTTTCCATATTGGCTGCACCGATTCACATTCCCACCAACAGTGCATGAGGGTTTCCTTTTCTCCACATCCTTGTCAATGCTTGGTATTTCTTTTTAATTATAGCCATTCTGACAGGTGTGCTATTTCATTGTGGTTTTGATTTGCATTTCTCAATGATTACAATGGTTATTTAAATATGTACGATCAAAGCTAACCCTCAGGTCCCCAAGGAGCTAGCCCTGCTTCTTCCTCTCACTTCACGTGGTCAGGCAGGGAGTGGAACAGCTTCATACCCACTCAGACTCAGGGCAGCCATTCCAGCTCTGCAGTTGGACGTTTGTGTCCTACCGTTACCAGCTGGGTCACCACAGGCAGGGGACCCTCTCTGTCCTCTGTAAACTGTGGCCGATAAATATTTCATAGCGTATTAATAGGCATCGCCTCAGACAATACACATAAACACCTCATGCTGAAAAAGTTGCTAAATTAAAATTAGAGTCTCATTACAAACTCAGGGTGGCTAGAAATGGCCCTCTGTCTCCTCTCACGTTTCTAAACTGACTTCCTCTTGACTTCCTCCCCTTAGTCACGGAGAGGCAGGCCTGAGTTTGAAAGTTGGTTCTGCCACCTACTTGCTGACTGGACTTGCTGAGCCTCGGTTTCCTTCTCTGTAGAATGGCACTAACATCTATCTGATGGGGTTATCGTAAGGAGTCAATAAAAGAGTTAATCTACAGTAAGGGCTGGCAAACTGCATGGTGAGCTGAGTCCAGCCCATTGCTGAGTTTGTAAAGTTTTATTGGATCCCAGTCTTGCTCATTCACTTATGCATTGTCTGTGGCTAGTTTGGTGCTACAGTGGCAGTCGAGTAGTTCTGACAGAAACTGTATGGCCCACAAAGCCTAAGCAGTTTGCTCCCTGGTCCTTTATGGGAAAGGCTTGCCAACACCTGATGTAAGAAGTGTCTCATTGGGTGCCTGCTTGTGGTAGATGCTCAATGACTGTGGTTGCTGTCATTGTAGTCACCATTGTCTGTATCATAGTGCAGCCATCGGGTGGAGCAGTGTTCTGTAAAGGGGAGGAGGAGGAGGCCCGGTGGGGAGAGGGGCCCGCTGGGTCACCCAGCACAATGCCATGCACACAGCAGGCCTGTGTCAGAAAGACTCCTGGCCTTGTGAACTTTCTAACACACCAACTAGTATTCTCTAAGCATTATAAATACACCAGGAGAATGTGTTAGAAGTCTGTTGTAAGGGCTCCCATGAGTCCTACAATGCTTTTGTGTGAATTAGAAGATGTTCCCCACCCTGGATGGGTAGCTCAGTTGGTTGGAGCATCATCCCTATATGCCAAGGTTACAGGTTCAATCCCTGGTCAGGGCGCATACAAGAAGCCACCAATGAATTCATAAGTCAATGGAACAATAAATCAATGTTTCTCTAAAATCACTAAAAAAATTTTTAAAAAAGAAAACATACCCCTTGCTTAAGACACTCAATTGTTAAAATAAATGTACTGATTTTGTTAGAAGGGGATGCTTTATTGTCAGGATGCTGTACTAAATATACAAACCTCCCCGCTGTCCGCTGTGAATGGCACGCCCCCGGACTGTGCAGTGCATCACTGCACAGCTGGACATGGCAGCCCTGCCTGGCCAGGCGTGGTGAAGCAGCAGGACCCTGCCTTTTGTATGTCTGTTGTTCAACAGCGAGGCCCGCTTCTTACGGACCTCTGTGCACATAGCTATGACTTGGCCCCTCATTTGTGTTTCCTTGGCTTCTGTGGGCCCAGCAGGCCCTGGTGCCTCCTCACCTCCACTTTTCGGACCCCACAGACAGAGATGGAGTTGGTCCAGCATATTGGCGTCCCTGCCAGCAAGATCATCTACGCCAATCCCTGTAAGCAAATTGCACAGATCAAATATGCTGCCAAGCATGGGGTCTGGCTGCTGAGCTTTGACAACGAGACGGAGCTGGCGAAGGTGGCGAAGAACCACCCCAGTGCCAAGTAAGCTGAGAGCCACTCATGTGGGAGGCGGAGTGGGTGGGAGGACTGGAGCTGGAGCCAGGGACCCTGTCCTGGACCCAGCCATGGTCGCAGGAGGTTGGGGCAAGCACCCTTGGACTGGACCCAGGATGCCACGGCCTGGCTTGGCAAAGTCATGGCTGAGAGAGCTGGAGGGGTTGGTTAGGAAAGCTTCATGAAGGAGGTTGCTTTGGAGGTGGGTCTTGGACAGCGAATCCAATTTGGGGAGGACACAAACAGTGTATCAGAGAGAACTGCATAAGTATACGCATGGAGGTCAAAATAGCAACGGGCGTTTGCGGGATAAGCAGAAATTTGGTGTGACTGGAAGGTACCATGGGCGAGGGGTGAGGGAGACAGTGAATGATGCTGGTCACGGGGCAGGCAACTGATGCACATGGGCTTTGCAAGGAATCAGGGCTGGGCATTTCGCTCAGGCTGTGGCTCTCACATGGTCCCCTGATACCCTGGCGGTTCCAGGTAGGGGCCTGGGGGTGAACAGGGCGCCAGGTGGTAGGCCACTCTGCTTCACCCAAAGCAGCTTCCATTTTGTCTGTTATACATGATATTGGGGTTCTCAATAAGACTGTGTATGAAAAATAGAATAGTCTCCCTCTTGCAAGGAAAGCTGGAAAAGCTTGGCTGGTATAGCAGCTGATTTAGAGGAAGTGGAGCTGCCACAGAGCTCGGGTGAGGGCTCAACCAGGGCAGGGGCTGCCAGAAGGGCCCAGGGGCGTTCAGGGAATGGATTGGACAGGACTCGGAGGCCAACTGGCTGTGCAGGGAGAGAAAGGGGACAGGGGGCCTGGGGGGTTGGGGTTGGGGGGGCTCTGAGCTGCAGAGGTTCACATCCCTTGGCTCAGAGAAGAAGTGGTCAGGATGGGGGAGGCAGGGGCTCCCTGGCGGAGGTGCGCTGCGTGTCTCCCCAGGATGGTCCTGTGCCTCGCCACCGACGACTCCTACTCCCGGAGCCGCCTCAGCCTCAAGTTTGGAGCATCGCTGAAGTCCTGCAGGCACCTGCTTCAGAATGCCAGGAAGAGCCATGTAGAGGTGGTGGGTGTGAGGTGAGTGTCTGGAAGCCCCACCCTCTCCACCCACACCGGGCCCAATGCCTGTCCCTCGGGAATTAATCAGGCCTGTATGAGGCCTCCCCAGCCAAAGTCCGCCAAGGAGGGCCTGGCCCAGGGCCTGGAATGCTGCCATTTGAGGGTTTCCTCTCTTTGGAAGGCAGGTTTGGCATGTCTTGCTGTCCCAACCCCACAGTCCCCAGGTGTTGTCCCAGGAGGGACCTGGCATTGCAGGAGTTCTACCAGCCTGTAGGCCACACCTTTGCTCTGCTTCTCTCCTCGCAGGGGCAGGGACTAAGTAGTAGCAATGACCTAACAACACAGCTTTCATTTATCCTGTACTGGGGCATTCCAGGCCCTGTGCTCCACGTTTCATGCACATTATCTCACAGCCTTGTGGGGTCTTCTCTCCACTTTACAGATGGGGAACTAAAGCCCAGACAGGCCACACCGCTGACTGCGCAGTGCATCCAGGTCTGGCTGGCTCCGGGGTCCTGGCCCTCATCCCCAAAGGCCCAGCCATAGGGGCAGACTGCCCACTCCTCACTTGCTGCACGGTCCTCAGCAACCCATTTAACCTCTTAGGCCCTCAGTCATGACATCTGTCGAATGGGCACCGTGTCCAATGTGCCTTTCCTGGCTGGGGCTGAGGTGGTGGCACCTGGGGCCCTGCATATAAGCCGAGGCTTTTCCTCCTGTCCCAGTTTGCACGTTGGCAGCAGCTGTGTTGACCCCCAGACCTATGCTCAGTCCATCGCAGACGCCCGATTTGTGTTTGAAATGGGCGCTGAGCTGGGCCACCGGATGCATATCCTGGACCTTGGTGGCGGCTTTCCTGGAGTGGAAGGCACCAAAGTGAGATTTGAAGAGGTAACCCTGGGTTTGGAAGTGTCATGCTGAGCTCTGTGGGGGTGGGGTGGGGGCAGGACGTAGAGGGTTATAATGAAGATGGGAAGCCACTGTGAGCGAGTCCTATGTGCTAAGTGCTGTGCTTGGTGCTTTATCTGGATCTTGTTATTAACCTTGTGCTACTGCTGAGCAAACTCCCTGAGTCCACAGTAGAGCTGGCTGCACTGATGTTATGTCACTCCCTGAGTCCACAGTAGAGCTGGCTGCACACGCAGCTCTGCCTGATCCAGCTCATGCACACATTTGAGGCTCAACCAGGCCGTATTTGCCTAAGTCATAAAGCTCGTTGAGGGTCTTGGCGGATGAGAAATCAAATGGGAAGGCAGGAAAGGGAAAGCAAACCTGCCCACTTCCCCGTCTGTGAGATGAAATCAAGGAAAATGTGACATCTCAATCTCCACTCCAACCACTAGGGGACGCTTCTCCTTAGTAGTACGAGCTTCATCCCGGAATATCTACATCAAAGACCTGTCCCTGAGAAAAAAATTCACTATAGACACAAAGAATTAGCTTCCCAGATGAGCATTGCAGCATTGTACACGGAATTCCACTGCACTTCCTTGGTCCATCTTACTCTTGGGAACTGGTTAAATTATGAAACACCCTTATGATGAAGACATTTAGGGGACTGGTTAAATTATGAAACATCCTTATGATGAAGACATTTACTTACACAGAGAAGCCATTCGCAGTCTCTTGAGTAAAACAGGCTATAACAAACATATGTGTATAGCCCTATCTTGTTTATCATAAAAAACAGTCTTTGTATAAAAAAAGAATTAAAGGAGCTACTCCAAAAAGTTAACAATGATTATGTTAATCTGGATAGTAGAATTAGGAGCAGTTTTTTTTTTTCCTTCTCATCCAAGGACATGCTTATTGATTTTAGAGGGAGGGGAAGAGAGGGGGAGAGAGGGAGAGAAACATCGATGTAAGAGAGAAACATTGATCAATTGCTTCTCCTATGTACCCTGACTGGGGCTGAACCTGCAATCTAAGCATGTGGCCCCAGCTGGGAATTGAACCTGCAACCTTCCGGTTTATAGGACAATGCTCCAGCCAACTGAGCCACACCAGCCAGGAAGGTGTGATTTTTTTTTTAACTTTAAAGATTTTGTTCAAATACAGTTTACATTCAATGTTACTTTCTATTAGTTTCAGAATAGTATGAAGTATGTGATTATACTTTACCATGTATTATGACAATATTATTGACTATTTTCCCTATACTTTACACCCCTGTGATTATTTTGTAACTACTAATCAGTGCTTCTTAATCCCTTTACGTTTTTTATCAGTCCCTCAACCCCCTTCCCCTCTGGCTACCATCAGCCTGTGTTTTGTGTCTATGAGTCTGCTTCAATTTTGTTTGTTCATTTATTTTGTTCTTCAGATTCCACATTTAAGTGAAACCATATGGTATTTGTCTTTCTCTGACTTATTTCACTTAGCATAATACCCTCTAGGTCCATCCATGCTGAAATTAGGGGTGATTTTGATCTTATTTTTCTTGTATGTGTTTTCTGTAAAAAATATGTCATTTAACAGATAAGTTATTTATGAAAGAAAAATCCACACCAGGGCTTCTGGAACCTGAGTTCCAAGTGTTATTTTAAGAGTGCCTCTCCTCACTGTGGGGCATCGAGAAGGGTGAGTGAAGCAGGATGAGGGAACTGACCCCGCTCTGCCTCCCGCCAGCCTTCTTGGCCAGCTGTCCCTGGTTACCAGCTGGGGCCTTAGCAGCTAGCTGCCAAGTCCTTCTTCTGAAATCAAAGAAGCTTTCAGGAAATAGACTTGGAGCTGTAGCAAGTCTTCAACATAAACGGCACACTTCAAACATGTAATTGTCCACCCCTATCCTCCTCCCACCAGATTGCTTCTGTGATCAGCTCAGCCTTGGACCTGTACTTCCCAGAGGGCTGTGGTGTGGACATCCTTGCCCAGCTGGGGCGCTACTACGTGACCTCGGCCTTCACCTTGGCAGTCAGCATCATCGCCAAGAAGGAGGTTCTTCTGGACCAGCCTGGCAGGGAGGGTAGGTACCAGGTGGGCAGCAGGGCCCTGTTCTTTCCTGAAGGTAGACACTGGCTGGCCAAGCAAGGTTTTAGGGAGTGGGGAATCTAGACACTGGGTCCTTGTTTTAGGGAAACTTACAATCAAGTTACCTTACTCCCAAGACACTTACTTAGCATCTTTTTTTCCTATGCATGTTCATATTTTATGAAGATTAAAATAAAAACAACCTTAGGTAGAATAGATACTTTATTAACTGTATTATACAGATGAGGACACTGAGAACAAAAGAAAATACAAGTGAATTGCTTAACAGCTAGTAAGAGGTAAAACCTGCATCTGATCCCATGTTTGTCTCCTATCCTACAGATAGCCTCTTGCTTACCCTGCTGCATCTCATAACATAATGAAAATAATGAATGACAATGTATATTTGTCTAAGCCCACTTTACAGATGGCAGATGTAGGCATGGAGAGGTTGAGTCACTTGCCCAAGGTCACACAGCTGATTAGGGGCAGTGGTATTGGTTCAGGTTCAGGTTGGGCTGACTCGAGGTGTCTCTGTCCGCACTGCTAACATCAGCACTCCTCCCTGCCCTTCCTTATGGATCCGTCCTCTCGGCAGTCCCACGAGAGAATCCATATGGAGGGGTGGTGGGCTTAAGGTCGAATGTTTTCTGTGCATGTGTGTGTGTGTGCGTGAATGGCTTTCTTCTGGCCTCCTCTATAGATCTGGGGAATTGTCCTGTCTAGTCCCACCAGGAGACCTGGCTTCTCATTCCAGCTTATGCGCTGCCGCAGTCATGTGCCTCTGAGCAAGCGGCTTAACCTTTTGGGGTCTTGAGTTTGGGTGGACTGCTCTTCTGCCTTTGCTGGGGCACCAAGAAGCTCAGTTGCAGGCAAGGCATGTGTCTTGGGCAGGGTTGCTCGGTTACAAGGATGAGTGTTTCCAGCAAGGCAGTGACCCTCATGTCGCAGAGGGGGACAAGCACCAGCCCATAGTTGAGGCAGAGGCAGCCCTTTTGCTTTAGTAGCCCATTATCCTTACAGAGCCCACCCTGGTGCCAGCTTCCCACTCCCACCCCTTCATCTTGCTACTTGCCCTGCCACTGACCCCTCCCTCCCTGCAGATGAGACCGGTTCTGTCCCCAAGACGATCATGTACCATCTTGATGAGGGCATCTATGGAATCTTCAACTCAGTGCTGTTTGACAACACCTGCCCTACCCCCATCCTGCTGAAGGTGAGCCACTTGGGCCTGTTTTCAATTATGTGGGTGTGTTTAAATTACATTTTTTGGTGTGCTGTTATCTAATTTTTATTTATTTATTATTAGTCCTTACCCAAGGACATGCTTATTGAGTTTTTAGAGAGGAAGGGAGGGTGAGAGAGAGGGAGAGAAGCATCAATGTGAGAGAGAAACATCGATTGGTTGCTTCCTGTACACGCCCCGCCTGGGGACTGAATCCATACCCTAGACATATGTCCCAACCGGAAGCTGAACCTGAGACCTTTTGGTTAATGGGACAACACTCCAACCAACTGAGCCACATTGGCCATGGCTGCTATCTAATTTTTAAAGAGTAAAGCATATTCATTGTAGAAAACAGACAACAGGGACAAAGGTTATCATCCATAATCCCACTCCATACAGATTCTTTGAACATTAGATTTCTTTTCAGTCTTGAAAAAATGTATTATGCTTTTCCCCCATAAGGTTGGGGGCATATTGTTTTGTACCCTGCTCTTCCTCACTTACTGTGGGGTGTAGCTCTTTGCATGCCATTAACTAATCTTTCATAGCATGCTTTTGATGACTTCAGAATAATTTAACTGACCTAACTTTAGTGGTTGGCCATTAGTTTCCTGTTTTTGAGCACTGTGAGTATATCTTGACGTCCATCTCTGATCACTGCTCTGAAGGAAATTCCTAGAAGTAAAAAAACAGTTCCTCTTTAACAGGATTTTCCATGTGAATAAGGGAACAGGAATTAACAAAACATTCTTCCTCGCCTGTGGATCCAGCCCAGGGCCTTCCACAGCTGGGCATCTTTAAGGGGAAAGACACTCAGGCACGCCCTTGTATTTTCACATCTCCAGGACTTTGTTTGTGTGGTCCCTCTTCTGGAAGGAAACTTAAGTGCCTCATCAGCACCTAGACCACTGCAAGCTTTCAGTGTGTGTTTGTTTTTTCTTTTCCTCTCTGTTCTGTCTACTTTTTCAAGGCCCAGTTGGATGTTAGCTCCTCCTTGGAGCACTTCCTCCCCCAATCGAGGTAGGTAGAGGGCGCCCCTCTCCCTCCTCCAGGCATGACTCCATGGGCCCTCATTCCATAGTTATACTATGTTGTTCAAGGTTAGGTGTGCTTTCGGGAAACAAAGTAAAGCAAGAGAATAATGAAAACAAAATTCAGGATAATAGCTACCTCAGGAGGAGCTAGGGAAGGGGCATGTCATTGGGGGGGCCCCACAGGGGTTTCAAAGATACTGGAAATTTTATATTTCTTTAGCCTGGGTAGTGAGTACATTGATATTCACTTTCTTATTATTTCCATTATCTTACACATGATACAAACACTTTTTGTATGAATTAAATATTGAAGAAAAATTTGAATCCATCATCATTTCTTATTAATATTTCTTGGTATTCCTGTTTTTCTTTTATCACACTGTTTTTAACATTTAGAAAAAAAATCTTGGGGAATTTAATTAGTAGTAGTTTATTTATTCTATTTATTAACTTGAAAGAATTCTCTTTTTTATTTTACTAAGTTTTTCCAGCTAGGTGAGGTAGAGGTCTTGTATTTTATTTCTCCCATTAAAGTGTTATTATTTCCTTTGAATAAGTATTATTGTGGCCCAAGCACATGCAGTAACTTTATAACTTAATGCTTTCATTACTGTTGTGAGTGGAGATGTTCCCCTGTGTTTCTGAGCTGAGACACTGGCATGCATGGGGGCACTCATTGATTTCCTCTGGTAACCACACCTCCGCCCTTTGAACCACACCTCTCCCCTTTGAACTTTCTAGACGGGCAAACATGTTTTCTGCAATGTGATATTTTCTTTCTTCACTTTCTGTATAGTATACCTTTTTGTTTTGTTTCTTTCCCCTGAATAGCGATTGCCAGAATTTCTCATGACATTTAAAATAGCGATGACAGAAAGCCTCAGACTTGGAGTCAGAAGACATGGGTTTGAGTCCTGGCTCTGCCATATACTAGCTGAATAACATTAGGCAAGTTACTTAGTCTCTCTGACCCTTGTTTCTCTTGTTTCTTTCTCTGGAAAATGAGGGGGTTGAACTTTAATTACTAAGGTTGCTTCTGGTTCTGAAATGAGGCCATTCTAGTGTATCTCCATGAAGTTAGAGTTGTCTCCTTATTTTAAATACTCTTCATCAGGGGTTTTGTTTTGTTTTATCTGTAGTTTTAATCAAGAATAGATGCTACAGGCCAATGAATGCCATGTTGATAGGTACTGAGAAATTAAATTTGAATTGTGGATCTTGTTTTTCATGTTATTATGAAGCCAGTGGTTGACTTGTTCATATTGTCTCTGCCTTCTATGTCAGGAATATGAGTATGGATTTAGTTAGCCAAGGATTCATTTTGGACTTTTGCTTTTATGTTCACAAGTGAGATTTTGACTATAGGTTTTGTTGTTGTTGTTGTTCTTGTTCTTCTCCTTCTTCTTCTTTGAGATGGAGATGTTTATTAGATATCCAAATCAAAATATCAAATGAGAAATTTGACCACTCTAGAGTTTAGGAGAGAGAAGTTGAAGATATAAATCTGTGTCTTCAATATAGATGGCATTGAAAGCCATGGGATGTAGAAGGTCTTCTCAGCAAAGGAATTAGTGTGGAGAAGTCCACGAACCACTCCTCAGGAAAAGAAGAGGAGGAACCAGCAAAGACTGAGAAGCAACACATCACTGCAAAAGCTGAGAATGTGGTTCAAGAAGGAAAAGTCAACCCTGTCAAATGGTACTGAAGGTCAAGTAGGAAGAGGATTGGACCTTTCACTCAGGTTATCGTTGCTGACCTTGCCAGGCAGTTTCAATGGAGTAGCAAGTGCTGATTGGAGAGCTTTAATTGTAAAAAATAGAAAAGCTTGTATAGAGAACTCTATTGAGGAATTTTATAAAAAGAAACAGTAACTGGAGACAGAAGTGACCTGAGATGAACCAGCCCTCAGTTGTATAAAATACAAGATTTTTAAAAAGTCCATCTAATTCTCTTGTCCTATTTTAGAACAAGCAAGGAAATCCCACAATGTTATCTTTCAGTTGTATCTGCCTACCAGCATTTATTTGGCAGCCAGAGAACTTCAGCTAATAGAGGGTCATGGGGCATTTAGCTCTTAAGTGCTAAGGAGAAGTTTCTGGAGACGTTACACATATCAGCCTACCAGGAAAGAAATACGCTTAATTACTTGCCCAGAGCTGCGCCAGTACCACATGCTCTAGAGAAAAAGCCAACTGCAGGCTTACCAGTTGCTTGCTGTTTTCTTTCTTATTTTTCCTTTTTGTGTGCTGCCCTTGTTCATCTCATTTTTCCATTTTAAATATTTTTGTACACTTTATGAAGTGTAGGAATTATCAATTTATTCTTTAAAAGCTGGGAAATTACATCAGGGCCATAGACTGTTTTAAATGTTTGACCTTGTTTCTACTGTGGATCCACTCAGATACTGGACCTCCGAGAAAGGTAGCCAGTGGGGTGCCTGGCTCTACTCAGTGTTCTGCTACGAACTCCCCCCAGAACGTAGAGCAGGTCACTTCCTCTTTTTCAGTTTCCTCATCTATAAAATGGGAATGACATCAGGCTTCCAGATGACGTGTGAGGCAGTGGTGAGCGTGCTTTGTAGAAACCCCCTGCCCTCTCTAACAGAGGGCCCGGTAGCAGACTGGATATCTTGTGCTGTTACAGGTATTTGTCCATTTCCATTCCTTTTTTGGACTCATAAAGAAGCTGAGACTTTCAAGCTTCTTGCTGCTCTGTGTTTCACGTACTCAAAACTGTAAACCTACTTTTGCGCCACCCTATATTGCGCAGCTTCAAATAAATAAATAAATAAAGGCTTTAAGTAGCAGAACGGTAGGTTTGCATTATTCCCTATGAAGTTGTAAAATCTTTTTTCCACTGTTTTAAAAATTGATACCGCAAATAAGAAGTGAGAGAACTCTAACTTATAACTCAAATGTTTTTTTCCCTGTAGAAGAGCCATTGAAATCTCTTTTTTCAAGGATCCTTGTAGATACATTTATGTAGCATTCCCCCTAGTCCCCAATGCCATCTTTAAAAGTTAGCTGAATGTTTTGTTTTGTTTTGTTTTTTAACTGAGTAGAGCTAAGGGAAATAATTCAGAGAAATGAAGGTGGATTTTAGTTATTAACAAAAAGCTTATAAAGAAGAATGTTAAGTTATATGAACAAGCCTATATGTTTGTCTCCCTTTCTACCATGTGAGCTTCCTGAGCACAGGAACTTTGCTTTTTTTGTGGTCACTGCTGCATCCCTAGCTCCTATAGCAGAGCCTGGCACATAGCAGTTGCTCAATAAATATTTGTTGTATGAATGAATATAGGACAATGCTCATCCTTTTTTAAAAATTTATTTTTAGGGGGAGGGGGAAGGGAGAGAGAAAGAGAGGAAGAGAAACGTCGATTAGTTGCCTTTCTTACGTGCCCCAACCCAGGACTGTGCCCAGAACCCAAGCATGTGTCCTGGCTGGGAATTGAACCGGTGACCTTTTGTTTTGCAGGACAATGCTCAACCAACTGAGCCATACTGGGCAGGGTCTCATTTGTGATGTTAATAAGATGTACATTTTTAAAAAATTAATGAGACTAATGGCTAATTAACTTTTTGTCAAATATATGAAACCTGCTTATGGAATCTGTGGCTTTTCTTTCTCAGTTTTACTCATTGCTGCTGCTGGCTAAGGTATCGAAATGCCTTTCCTTTTTCCTCTGTTGGCCTTATCCACTGCTTTCTTCTAGGCTCTTTGGATGGCTTCTATTCATGTCTTGTCTTTCTTTCTTTCTTTCTTTCTTTCTTTCTTTCTTTCTTTCTTTCTTTCTTTCTTTCTTTCTTTCTTTCTTTCTTTCTCTTTGTCTTTCTTTTCACTCATGTATTTCCAATTCATTCATTTAAAAGATATTATTCAAAAAACTCTTACTGTATGCCAGACTGCTGGGCACGGAGGAGATGCGGGGACGAGACTGTCAGGGTCTCTGGGCTCATGGAATTTATAGCCTACTGGCTGAGCAGACACATTTCACAAATGCCTAATTATACATTAAGCATTTGCTTAATTAAGTAATGCTATGGAGGCAAAGCTTGGGGGTGCATAAAGTTTTAGGAAAGGCTTCCGTGAGACCTGTTAACTCAGACCTAAAGCAGGGGTCCCCACCCTCGCTCATCGCGGTCTGCGGACGCTGCTCGCACCACCGCCTAAGCTCCGCCTCCTGTCTCCCACCCGCCTCTCAGGCCTGAGCTCCGCCTCCTTTCCTCCCATCCACGTCCCCACACCTTACTGACCGTGAAAAAATTGTCTTCCACGAAACAGAAACCAGTCCCTGGTGCCAAAAATGTTGAGGACTGCTGGTCCAAAGGGAAATTGGGAATTGGCAGGTTTGGGGCCTCCGTGAATAGCAATGGGAAGGCTAGGGTTGGGGAAGGGAAGCTGGGTTCACTTGGGGAGTCCAGAGCAAGGAGCGTGACTGGAGCAGTGAGTGCAGTGGAAGGCGGAGTGAGGGGCCTTCAAGGGCTGGGTCAGGACGCCCTCAAGTCCAGCCTTTAGTCATGACGCCTCCTCTAGGGCCTCCCTGGCAGGACCCCCTACACTCAGACAAATTGCATTGGTATCTTGGTTGTCTGCAAGTGGTCTGTGTAACACATTTCTTCCCTGGATTTGAAATTAAGAAAAAAATTAAAATTTAATGCAATTGGTAGTTTTGTCTTTGGGCAAGACTTAACCTCTCAGAGCCTCAGTTTCCCTGAAATGGGAATAATTATGTCCACCGCATGGGGCCCCCTGTGACTTCTGCCAGGTTACCCTACGATCATTGGAGGCATTCCTCACCAGATGGGGGGGGGGGGCCCGAGGGAGGGTGAGTCTAACTCACATGTCCTTCTTGCTCTTGTGACCGGGCCTGGTATGGAATGAGGGATTCTGGGAGGCCTTCATCGAAGAGGATGCCCCAGGGTAGGGCCCAGAGGACAAGCTGGATTTGAGGAACGTGAGGTGTGGACACACCCAGGGCCTGGAAAGCGGCAGATTTGCCAGCAAAGGCTGAAGCCGAGAGGTGGCAGCAATAACAATGATAAAGACAACGCTATATTACTGATCCTTGCCATGTGTCAGACACTGTTCTAAGTGCGTTATATACACTGACACCTCCCTTCAGTAACCTATGAGGTAGATACTATTATCATTCCCATTTTGCAAACTGAGGCACAGGGGGATTCAGAATCTTGCCCAAGGTCACACAGCTAAGCAAATTTTGGAGCCTGGATTTAAGAGGCATTGTGGCTTCTGAGTCTATCAGGCAGTGAAAGCAGAGAAGTGGGAGGACCTTAAATGCTAGGCTAAGAGGCCCATCCAGTCTTTCTCCTGTTGGCTCAGGGAGGCACGGAAGGCTCGTGAAGGAGGGAGGGATATGCTGTGAACTGTATGCCCAGGAAAGCTGAATGTGGTCACTGCTCTTCCTTGCAGAAACCATCCGCAGAGCAGCCCCGGCACAGCAGCAGCCTGTGGGGCCCGGCGCCTGACGGCCGTGACTGCGTAGCGGAGGGCCTGTGGCTGCCGCAGCTGCACGTAGGGGACTGGCTGGTCTTTGAGAACATGGGCGCCTACACCATGGGCGTGGGTTCCCTTTTCGGAGGGACCCAGACCTGCCGCATCACCTATGCCATGTCTCGCGTGGCCTGGTAAGGGGGCCCTGCTGGGAAATGGAGTGCGGGGAGGAGAAAGAGCAGGCTGGACAGAAGCAATGAGGGAAACCTGAGGCTGAGACCCTGCTTCTGTGAGACCCAATTTGACAAGTAGCTCTCGGCTGCTGGTTGCTAGCGAGGCCTGTGCTCGGCACTGGGCTGTGGCCAAGAATGAGGCTGAGCCCGCCTCGTGGAGCTCGGAGCCTGCGAGAGAGACAGAGAAGCAGACAGGACTCCTGGTAATTCTGTGCTGGGTGGAGGGAGCAGGCTGTGGAAGCTTAGATTCCTCCCCGGGGCCCAGACCCACTTCCCCGAGGAAGTAAAGCCTGGGAGATGAGTGGGAGTTAGGAAGCAGGAGGCAGAAAGGGGCTCTAGGAAGAGGGAACGGGGAGCGGGCATTCTGCCTCCATGACTAGGGAAGGTGGTCGTGGCTGGGGAAGGAGCAGGGCTGGATCTGAGAAAGGCCTTAGGGACTGAGTGAAGGGCTTTGAGTAGCGAGGGGGACACACGGACTGGCTTGAAGGAAGGGAGTGACACAGCCTGACTTGGATTTCAGAAAGCCACTGCAGCTACTCTGTGGATCTGGGGAGAACAAGTGTGAACCTGGGTAGAGCTGACCGGTCGAGAGGCTGCTCTGTGACTCAGGGAAGGTGTGTGCCCGCTCAGCCTCTGTCTTCCCATCTAGACAGCGAGCTTAACACTGGCCCTGCTTGCCTCACCGGGCCAGCGCCGGGCTCTAGTGAGGCAGGAAAGTGAACAAGATGGGAGGAAAGTTGAGTTTGTTGAACAATTCTGTCTGTCAGGACTTAGGATTATTTCCTTTTAACCACACAAAACTCTGTGGGATCAGTGTTATCACAAACAGGTCATGTGTTTGAGGTCACGTAGCTGGTCAGCAGTGAAGAGTTCCCCTTTTGGGGCAGGGGGGATGGCTGGGGAGACGGCTGCGGAGGGCAGGAGCGTCCGCCCTCTCTGCCGAGTATGTGCTTACTAGGTGCCCGTGTTACCGCTGGGCGCCCCAGGCACTAATGCCCTGCCCTGCTGTAGTGGAAGGAATGTCACAGAAGCAGATACTGAACCTGATTGTTATCAAGGGGAAGTACACTGTGCTGTGGGATTCAGCAAAGTCATCCCTGAGGTCCAATCACTGAAGCTGAGACCTGAAGCCTGAGGAGGAATTAGTGAAGGTGGATGATGCAGGCAGAGGCCCAACTATGTGCACAGGCCCGGGACGTGTGTGGGCCTGAAAGACGGTGGCAGTGATGGCGCCCAGGGGGTGAGGACGGGCAAGGCTGGAGGGGCCAGCCGGGGCCAGGTCTCACGGGACCTGAGAGCGGAGGGAAGCTGCCTGCTGGTAACTCAAGAGCAGGGATTTGCTGTTTCGAAAAATGGTCCTGGACCAGGAATGTGTGGAGGAGGCAGGAGCAGATCAGGGAGGCTGTGCATTCTCAGCTAGAGATGGCAGAGGCAGTGGGAATGGAGAGAGGTGTGTGCCTGTGAGGATGTTCAGGAGCTGGGCTCCGCAGGGATCTCCTTGGTGTGGGGATGAGACTCCCACCTGTGGCTGATCAGATGGTGGAGCTGTGTATCAACATGGGTACATAAGAGGAGAAAGTTTGTGGGGTTTTTTGAATGGGAAAGATGATTTTTTTTGTTTTGAAGTTCCAAGCTTAAAGTGTAAAGAATGTGGGAGAGAATTCGGTGGAATCCTAGTTCTACTACCTTGGGCAGGTCACTTCTCTGCCTCAACGTCCTCCTCATGGGGATGACAATGCTGCCCTTACAGGGTTTGGGGGAGGATAAAATTAGAGCACGTAAGTCGAGTGCCTGGCACATAGTAAGTGTTTGATAAATGTGGGTTCTTTCCTTGTTGGGAAGGTGGACTACAAGGATTGGGGGAGAGGGGTCAGCAGGCCTTCCCCTGCCTTAGCCTGGGCTCTGGGGCTCAGGAGAGACCTCTATACCCAATGGGGCCAGGTCTCCCAGCGCAGGAGTCCCAGCCTGTGGGTCCCATGCTGATGGCCTCCGGTGCCCCCCTCTCACCCACAGGGAGGCACTGCGAGAGCAGCTGCTGCCTGCAGAACAGGATGGGGATGCTGAGGGCGTGTGCAAGCCTCTGTCCTGCGGCTGGGAGATCACAGACACCTTGTGCGTGGCCCCCGTCTTCACCCCGGCGAGCATCATGTGAGCAGGCACCACGCCCCTGGGCGAACCCCAGCGGGGCCACAGTGATGCCTCTGGGAGAGGGGGGGAAGGTGGTCAGCAGGCGCCCTCTGGCCAGGACTCTGGTGCTCGCCCTGCTGCCCCCCATACTCCACCCGCAGTGTTTCTGCCCTGTACATAGGCCCAGTCGTACACTCGCTGTAGTTCAAGTATGCAACATAAATCCTGTTCCTTCCAGCTGTGTCTGCCTCCTCTGCGGCGCAAAGGGCCTGGTCGGCCAGGTGAGGGGTGTTCTTGCGGTCTCCCTTGGTCTCCTTCCCACTTTTGTAAATATGAAACAAATAAATATTTAAGTTTTTTTTTAATACTCCAGTGGAATCCGGCATTTCAATTCAGCCTGGGCTAGGCCAGCAGCGAGCTCTCCCACCCTGCACCGAGGACCCCATGGCCTCTGCCTCCGTCCTGACCTGGCTGCAGTGCGGGCTCCTGCTGACCCTGGCTTCTCGGACCCATCTCTCTCCTCTCCACAGGCCTCCACGCCTGGGTCATGAGGAAGGGTGAACGTCAGGGGCTGAGGTGGGGTCAGAGGTGCTTCCCTTCAGCCCCGGAGCTCAGCTCATGACTGAGAGGGGCCCTGTCTGACCCTAACACCCAGCCTACAGCCTTATCCAAAGTGGGGGCCATGGAGTATTCGACACAGCTTTGGAAATTCACACCGAAGATAAAGAGCAAAGAGATGGGTTTTGAGGAGACCCTGCACCCTCACTCTCCTTGCAGGTCTGCAAGGCAGTAAGAGTAATGCCAATATGGGGTGGTTGGTTTTGGTAACTGAGGCAGTCACTGTTCAGGTTTTAGAGTTCCCCCAACTGCAACAGGCAACCCCAAATTTTTTTCCTTCTGCATTAAAAAAAATTGAGATATGACTCACATACCTTACAACTCACCTTTGAAACTATAAAATTTTTATAGTGGTTTTTAGTACGGAGTTTGTACAACCCTCACCACTATTTAATTCTAGACATGTTCATCACCTCAAAAAGATACCCATCAACAGTCACTCCCCATTTTCCCCTTCCCTGAGCCCCTCTCAAGCACTGCTCCACCTTCGATCTCTATGGATCTTGAAGGGTAATTCCTTGAGCGCCCTTTGGTCACGTACTGCGGCTGTGCTCTATGGTAGACAAGGTGATGCAGAGCCGAGGTGAGTCCTTAAGGAACTCACAGAGCTGCAGTGCACTCACAGAGGGCCTTGAATAACTGAGCCAGGAATTTGAACTTAATTCTGCAGACAGCAGAGAGCCCGATTGCTTCTGGAGCGGAAGCAGGACAGAACCTTTGAGAAGATCATTGAAAGTGTATTCCAAACAGGCAGAGGGAGGAGACCTGGAGGGCTGGTGGTAGCATGCTCTTCCTTCACACCAGTCTGATTGAGGGGCTGGCTAGGGAGCCTGATGGGGGTCGGGCGGTCCGGGGGTCTGAGGGGCACTAGTTGTCATCTCTACCCCTACTCAGGAGGAGGACGGTGGCTCTCCCCTTGGAAACCCACCTGCCCAAGTTAGCTCATTCCAGCTGTACATAAGCCATGGCAGAGGCAAAAGGATGGCAGTTCCCACTCAACTCTTTGCTCCATTTTAAACCCTCTTTCTGGCACCTCTGGAATGAGCCTGGGAACATTCAATCAGCAAAGTTATCCGGCACAGCCTCCTAGCAGTCAGAGGAATCTCTTCAGGAAACAAGAATCCTATCTCGTCCGTCTTCTGCTGAAAACCCTTCAGTTGATTCCTACTGTGATGCCAATAAAAGCTAAACTGCCGGAGGCCTCTGCTCACCTCTCTGGTCTTATCTCATGCTACTTCTTTTCTCGCCCTGCTCCAGCCTGTGGCCTCTTCTCAGTTCCTCCCACTTAACCAGATCTTTCTGCCTCCAGACTTTTGCCCTGGCTGTTCCCTCTGCCTGAACAGCTCTTCTTCCAGCTTCTCCAGGGTTGGCTCATTCTCATCATAAAGGCCACAGCTTAAATGTCACCTTAGGAAGGTCTTTTCTGAACACCCTCTTCAAAGTGGTTCCCCACCTAGTTACATGGAGTCACATGAACAGAAATTAGATTCTGAAGACAAAAGTATTTAAGGCAAGAAATGCATTGTCAATACTATCACTAAAAATCCCTTTGAAAGCTATCATACTGGAGGTGGTAGTACATCACTCTTTCTGTTCCTCTAACATGCCAGGCACACTTCCTTATAACCCCGAACATGGTCTCTTCCCATCACCCCTTCAAGTCTTGGCTCAAATGTCACCTCTGTGAGCCTTTCCCAACCGTCCTCTTTAAACCTGTAACTGTCCCATTCCCGTCCCCGCATTACCTTAATTTACCTTAATCCCCTGAGCGGCCTTAATTTCCCCTTCCCAACAATTCGCTATTTGACATACATTTCATCTGGAGTTAAGCTCTTAAAAGCAGACATTCGTTTTGTTCTGTGTCTCCAGTGCCTGGACACTGCCTACATATAGACAGTCAATAAAGAACTGCTGACTGGGCCTTTCAGGTCTCAGCTGGGGTCGCTCTCCCTTTTCTCTTGGTTAGGTCTTTATTACTTCTCTGAGCTTTCATAGCCTTCTGCATTTGCCTGTGTTGAAGAATTGTTGACCACCATGTATTATCATTTTTCTCTCTACTTGTCTTCCTGCAAATCTGTTAATTCCAAACAAAACAGGGAGTTTCTCCTACTTGCCTGCGTTTGTGCTTGACGCAAAGTACTTATTGTCTTGAATAAACTAGTCTTGGAGGCTGGGGGTGCCCCTGCGTCCGGAGGGGTGGGTACCTGGCCCCCTTTCAGCTCCTGAACAGCAGCTTGGTTAGACCCTGTGGAGGGCAGACCACAGACTGGAAGGGGCTGTGGTCCCTTCAGGCCACCTCCGGATTACACCTAGGAAGAGCACAGGTCCACATACGAGTGAACCTTAGGTGGAGAGGCATCGAGAATAGCTCTTTCTGCTCTTCCACTCAGCTGGGGGACCTTGACCTAGGAATGACATGTAAAATAAAGGACGCATATATGTGTCATGCAATATTTGGGATATTCTTATACGAAGCCATTGTTGTTTACCTGAAATTCAATTTTCACTGTTCGTCCTGTCTTTTATTTGCTAAATCTGGCAACCCTATCCACCCTGCATGTCCCTGTCTCTCTCCGGGTTTCGGTTTCCCCATCTGTGCCCTACGAATATTTCTGAGACTTCAAATCCCCGCAAGGGGCCGTCCCTCTGCTCCGAAGAGTCCTGTGCAGGATCGCTGGTCTTACTGATTCAGCATGAGCAAGCTCCTTCCTCTAGGACCTCAGTTTTCTCACTTGACCATTCGAGAAAGTGAGGGCTGGAAACAATATTCTGAACTACTGCTTCCCGGAATCTTGATCACTAGACTTCCGGCCACCGGAACCCTCCCTCCGACTCCGGGGCGGAGGATTTCCGGCACCGTGACGTCACTTCTGTGCTCGAGTGTTTCCTGGGTTTCGAGCTACAAGCTCTCGCGCCCCCTACCGGCCAGGAGAAGGGTCCGACTTGACCAAACAGTGAAAAAAAAAGGCCGCGGAATCCATTGGTTGAAAGGCAGAGATGCAACCCCCCAGCCTCCACCAGTGGAAAACTGAACCTGCTCCGAGGGCGGGACTCCCACGGGGAAGGGATCGGCCCTCAAAGCCGGTAGCGTGGGAAGGGGAGAGGCTTCCTCCGGCTGGAGAGGCCCGATGTCACACCGGAAGTTAGTTCCTTTGCTTACCAGCTGTTTCGGCTTCAATTTAACACAGCATGGGGATCCCACATTAAAAAGACAGCTGTGCGTTTCCAGGGTGTCTCCTCTCCGGTGTCCCCTTTCACCCATCCGTGTCATATCCAAGAGGAGACACCTGATTTCAGGGCCTTTGAGCGAATTCTTGACCTGGAGGCTAAGATGTGTTACATTTTAAAAGAGTACTTGCAGTGTGCCCTGCCCTGCCCTTGCCCTTCACTCGAATTATTTAATTTAATTCACACGGCTCTGTGCAGGGGATGTTATCACCCAGATTTCGCCCCTCTTTGCCTGTGGTGGAATTCTGTGCTTCCTGCTGCAAGACTGTGCCACAATTTCTGCATTTGTAAAGTGGAATAATGGCACCTACCTCATACTGTTGTTCTAAGGAATAAATAAATTAACATATTTAGAGAGGGTAGAACAGCACCTGACACATGCTATCGATAGTAAACATTTCAACTATTTCTATTTACAAATTAGGAAACACGCTTAAATATGAAGTAACTTAACCTAGAACAGATAGTAAACAGTAGAGTCAGGTTGCCTTTTTGGTTGTCAGAGAGGAAGATGAAGATACTTGGAAAAGAGTGGTGGGAAGAAGACATAGGTGGGAAATGGCTTCAGAGGGGTGTGGGGCCAGCAATGATGATAAGGGATGTTGCTTCTGCCTGCTAAGCATCTCTTGACATCAAGTGCTTCTCTATATCCCTGCTGCCACCGGCAAACTCCACCATAATCATCTCTCATCTTCTATTTGGGTTTCTTCAACTCCTCCTAACTGACCTCCCTAACTCTAGTCTCAACTCCTGCCCAGTCCATTCTTTAAGTGGAAGTCAGAGTGATCTAACTAAAATGAAAGGTCTATCATATTATTTCCTGGAGTGAGTCCCTTCAGAGGATGTCTGCTTTCTTCAGAATGGAGCCATGACTTTTTAGCCAGGGCCCGAGTGTCGAAACCTGTACTGTCTGTTATGTTCGCCACAAGCTCATTCAGCTATGGTGACTGAAGCACTTGAAATGTGGCATGATTTGAGGTGTGTAATAAGTATAAAATACACCCCAGATTTCAAAGATACGGCCCAAGGAGAAGAATGTAAATATCACATTACAATTTTAGAATACTGATGACATATTGAAATGATAATATTTCATACATGTTGGGTGAAATAAAATGTATTATTAAATTAATTTCACTCATTTCTTTTTGCTGTTTAAAGTGTTGCCAGTTGGCTACT